AAAATAGAGGAAGCAAAGAAGTGTGAGTATGTGTGTGTGATGTATCATGCGTGAATGAGTGTGTGTGTTTGTTGTGTTTATCGTGTAGGTGTTTGTTGTGTTCAGCGTGTTTGTGTTCGTTGTGTTAGTGTGGGAAACAAAGAGGAGGAAGAGAGGAGAGGAAAATGATGAACAAATACTTGAGGTTGTGTGGTCGTGGCTGTGTAGGGGCACCATTTCTTTTCTGCGACTTTATTCGATCATCTAGTATGCAAAAAAAACACAGTCAAAAAATAGAGGAAGAGAAGAAGTGGGAGTATGTGTGTGTGTGTTGTATCCAGCGTGAGTGAGTGTGTGTGTTTGTTGTGTTCATTGTGTGGGTGTTTGTTGAATTCATCATGTGTGTTTGCTGTGTTTTGTGTGTCTGTGTTAGTGTGGGAAGTAGAGAGGAGGAAGAGAGAGTTCCTGGGTTACTTTTTAAAAATGGAAGAGAGAGTTGTCAGGTATCGGGTGAAAATGGAAGAGAGGAGAGAGAGAGGAAAGAGAGAGTTTTTGGGCTGCTTTTTAAAAATGGAAGAGAGGAGGGATAGTGTATCGGGTGATAGAAAGAGTTATAGTATGAGATAGAAAGATAAAGTTAGATGAGCGATAGGAGTCTTTTTATCGGTTAGTATGAGATAAGGGTAGGGAGTTAGATGAGAGATAGGAGTCTTAGGAAAATTTAATATGAGGACCGTCGGATCAATAATCGTGAAACAATATGAACCGCGAAAAGCTAAAGGCAAAGAAAGCTAGCTACTTTATTGTATAGATGTATTCTAGAATTGTTTTATCGAGTACATAATTTAATTATTGTCACACCAAAAACTTTGTTCTCTTAAGTTTTAATGTATAAATTTATACAATGTTTGATTTCTAAATTAATGTGGCCGAACTTAAGTTTGATATTTTGAGTAATGGATGGCACAAATTTCATCATTGTAGATACAATAATCTTATGTGCTTTCAACAAATAGTCTTATTATAGTTTAGGTTACTTGAAACCAACTATTCAAAATTAAAGATAAAAAAATTGTCAAATAAAAATAAGAATAAATAAAAAAGTGAGAATAAATAAAGAAGCATACAAATTGCCCGTCTAAAAGAATCTGAGTTATGAAACTCTAAGGTTCTATAAGAGTTATGACATTATTTGATTTTTAGCATATTTTATTGACATTATTGCCAATCAAAAGTTTTGTACAAGTATTGACGTTTAGAAGTAGTATAGATAGATAATATAATGTGAGCAATGTTATGTGTACCAAATCTTGCATCAAATCACTTGCAACCGTTGGATCAGTGAGTTCCATTACTGATCTAACAACTGCAGTTGATTTGGTGCAATATTGAATGGAGATTAAATGATGCAATATGACATGATTGGTAGAAAAAAAATTAAATAGGATTATAAGTAGTATAGATATAGATGTTTATGAATGTAATTAATTTTAGAAGATCATGAAATATGAGAGGTTTATGTATTCAATTTAAGAAGTTAAAAGGGTATGAGAGATATAATGGATTTTATCATATTAACTAAGGGTAAAAGAGGAAATCAAAAGTTTTTTATTGTTAGCCACTTTTATAAGTAGTATAGATATAAATATAGATAACTATCTTGACTTTAAATTTTTTAGTTTTTTTTGTGCAATTGGTATCACTTGTTTTTTTTATTGGTGATTAACTTGGTTTTGAATTTTTTTTTTTTTAGTGCAATTGGTATCACTTGTTATCTCACACTCTCTCTCTATATATATAGATAGAGAGAGTGAGAGATGGGATAGTGTGTGAGAGATAGGAGTTTTAGAGTTTTAAAAGGAATGAAAGTCCAATTAAGATCATCAGATCGATAATCCTCATATGATCTGAGCCACGAAATCCTAATTAGACTTTCATTCTCTCTCTCTCTCTATATATATATATATATAGAGAGAGAGATTATGAAAGATGGGAGACAATGTGTTTAAAATGTCTATGAGAAAGAGAGAGAGTTATATACGCATGAGAGTTGGCTGTCTGAGATAGAGAGAGAGTTATATGAGAGATAAAAGTCTTAGAGTTTTTAAAAAAATGAAAGTCTAATTAAAATTGTTAAATCTATAATTTTCAGACGATCTATGCCACGAAAAGCTCAAATATAAACAAAACTATCTATTTTATTATATAGATAGATATATAAACACATACATACATCATCAAATTAAATCTAATATAAAATCATTATAGTAATTTCTAAGATAAAATAATTAAAATTCTGTAATTTTAGTTGTCAAATTTAAAAAGTTTCAAAAATCTTTGAAACATATCTCTAAAAACAATAGAGAAAGATTTATAATGGGTTTTGATTTTCCTAAATTTTAGTTTTTTGTTTTATTAGAACTTCATGTATCTATAAAATAAAGTAGAGTTGAGTTTGAACTTTGAAGACAAAGAGAAGTCCAGATCGTTTTGAGACAAAACATAAACATATCCAACGGACAATGTAATTTTAATATAAAAGACGGTTCAAATTATCTCATAAATTTTGATCTGACAATCATAATTAGACTTAACTTTAACACTCCTATCTCTCATATATATCTCTCTCTCTCTCTTATCTCTTAGACGTTTTAAACACATTATCTCATCTCATCTCCTCTCTCTCTCTCTATATATATTTATATATAATAAAGTAGCTATATTTGTTTATCTTTAACTTTTTGCGGCTCAGATCTTTTGACCATTATTGATCCAATGGTTCTCATACCAAAATTTGTTAAGACTCTTATCTCTTATTTAACTCTCTCTCCTATCTCATTTATACTACTAAGATAGAGGTGATTTCAAACTTCCTAAATTGAAATCAATCTTCTCAATTAATTAATGATTTTAATTAATAATTAGTGAATTTTAATTAATAATTTTTTTTTGTATTATAAAGTGCATTTGGGCACGACAACTAACTAGGAGGCACAATATATTTATTTACAAGTTATTTGGCTTGTATGGTAGTGTTAGTTTAATTTAATTTGTATCTTATTCATTTTGTATTAGATGTTTTGGATTATTACATTGCAACAGTTGATAAATAATGGTAATAGCGATATTAACGTAACGTGACAAAATTATTGATTTAAAGTACTATTTATTTACAGAAAAAGTTTGATTATGAGTTGTACACACAAGTTGGTGTTGTTAATTAAATCATGTTTTCAAGGAGAACTCTATCGAAATTTTTTTAAAAATAAAAGTTGGTTTATATTAACTATTAAGATTTTATGTGTTACACAAATTATTTTGCTTTGATATTCACGTGTATAGTCACCATATATAGTATATTGTTGATAGTAGTATTGTTGAACAGGTAGTTTTATGTGTTACATTAATTATTTTGATTTGGTACGCCTTTTAATTAACCATAATTTTTTTTTGTTTCTCTATATCCTCATGTACAGGTAATTAATAATATATATAAAGACTTAATGACCTACCATTAAAAATTGTATACTTTTTGTCAATTAAATTTAATTTTGTGTACTCTTTCTGATTTTCCCAACAAACAACCAGGTTCTGTTTGAACCATTATCTGCCAGGGTCCCAATGCAACTTTTCTAGGTGCCTCAGAATTGAGAGGACAGAGCCCCTTGACAAAAGCCATGTGCAGTGCCACTGGGTACTCTTTAGAGGGTAGGAAAGAAACCATTGAGGATAGGATTCACAAAGGTTTTTGAGATCAGAAAATGTTAATTGTATTGAAAATCTCCAAAATATAAAATTTATTTTATTTTGGTCTTTAATATTTTAATTGTATCATTTTAGTCCTTTAAAGAATTGAATATGTTTTTATGTGGTTCCTCAAGCAAACAGTATTTAAATTGTTAACAATATTTTATTATAAATTTGCCACATAATACTTAAATATGAACAAAAAATAATTTGGGTAGCACTTGACCAAATTTGGAAAGCTCATTATCAAAACTATGTAATATGAGTTGCTCTTGACTAAAATTTGGATGACCAATTATCAAAATTGAGTAATTTAGGTAGCTCTTTGACCAAAATTTTGGTAAAAATTTAGTCAATAGTTATCAAAATTATTATTTTTGCTCATATTTAAGTATTCGGTGACAAATTTATAATAAAAAATTATCAGTAATTTAAACGTTGTCTGCTTGAAGGACCACATAGAAATATATTCAATATTTTAGGGACCAAAATGATACAATTGAAATATTGAGAATCAAAATGAGATAAATCCCACACAGCGGAGATTTTCGACACAATTAACCCGATCAGAAATGAGTTGATCAATGGGCCAGAGTATCGGTTGCGAGTGGCTGATAATAGCATCAACCATCAAGTAGGATATACATTGTATCGACATGTGTCACCACCAGTGCACGAGTTTCCTACTCTATGCAGTCTGTCTGCAACTTTACCCCATACACGGATATCTTTCTCTGTAACTCGAACTCGTGACACACAAATCACAATGACTGCTCCTGTGAACTAAGAATATCTGCAGCAGAAAACATTTGGAAAACACTCACATGAACATATGGAACAAAGGGAGGAAATAGAACTCTTGTTGATCTAGACAATTTGAAAAGATGAATTCAAATCCATTACTTATCTCAGAAATTCCTACCAACAAATGAACTGCAAAATGAATTTCCATGGAGGAAAGGGAAGAAAACAAAAACAAAAGACAAAAAAAGAGAAAATACTTACCCCATCTTACTTATATTAACCTTAATGATCTACGCATCACTAGACCTGGAACACTGAATACTATGTCATCCGCTCATCTCTAACCCCTTTTTTTTTTCAGTACTCTCATTTCATTCCTTTCTCTGCTAGCTAAAATATGTCATCTATTGCTCCTAACTTCACCATTACATCTCTGTACAAAGAACAAATGAACAAAGAAATGCAAAACAGTAAGAGAATAACATAATGAGAGTAACACAGATCTCCTTCACATGAACCCAAACAAAGGCTCACTCCTTGGAATTGGACTCTGGTTTGGTGGTGTTTGGAGTCATTGTTGCAGTCCCGGGCACTGTGGTCTTTCCGTCGATCTTGCTTCTCATCTCAAGAACCTTCTTGTGGGAATTGGAGTGCAGCGACGGAACAAATGTTGGACTTGCTGCAGGCCGGTATTCAGGGAAGAGCCGGCCCGACTTGTGGCGAACACCACATGCATTGCAGAGGGTTTTTGGCCCCATTGGACCAGCCCTCCATTGTGGTGTCTTAGTTATCCCACAGTGCATGCATTTCCTTACTGCTTGAGATGGCTGATTTTGATTTATCGCCAAGGGACCCAAAGGAACTGATAATTTCATTTTCTTTTTCTTTTTCTTGTGTTCTGCTGAAGCTAGGTTTGGTATCTTCTTAATTGGCTGAGACTCCACAAAACTCTCCGACTCTGAATAAACTCCAGGAGCAACAAAGGGCTGAGGGATCTCCGTAACAGAGGAAATGGGAGAGACAAGAGGAATACACGGATGGGGATTAAAGGCTGCAGGGCGAGGTCTCTTGCTGCGAGCACGCTGAGGGCCACGGTGAATCGGGCTGAGGGGCATTGCCTTGGCTGCAGAGCAGGAGCTGCTACTGCTGCTGCTCTCAAGGACTGAAACAGGACTGGAGGTTCGGAATTGGTTGCAGGATGACTCCTTGTTGACAGAACAGTTCTCTTTGCCGATGGTCAGCCCACCACCAGAGAAAGAATCCTCCATGAAAGTTGAAAGCCATTCAAGTTCTACCGTGTCTTCGTACTAAGAGAAAATAGTAAAAACAAATATTCGACAAAATCAGATCATGTCTAGAACATCTATATTCCATAGGAAAATGAAAATCAGTCGATTAGTGTAAATCAAGTATGCAACTTAATGTTCTTAAGCCAATGCAGGTAATGATAAAAAGAATGATCAATAGAGTTAGGGAATTAAACATGAATTTATAGAGTTTGCTAAACATTTTCATTCAGTACATGCATTAAGTGCTTTGATTGCAGAAATGTTAAGCTTCTAATATTAAAGCGGTCCTTTCTATTGATGTAGAGGGAGCAACAATGCTATTTTGAGCATAGGGCGATTTGGTATGTGGTACATGTACAAGTACTCGATACGCTTATTTAAGCGATCATGATCACGAACCTACCCGATTTCATGTTGACCCTAGTTCGTGAGACGTTAGGGGTGTTTACAATCATGGTATGTATGAGGACAAGTGCAGATTACAAGATCACTACCACTGATAGGGTTTGAGACTTGGCAATTCCCAGCCATTAACAAAAAAGTTATGATGTCTAGGTCCCTTTGAGCAGAAGAAAGAGAATAAATAATGGTGTCATGGGACACATCTGCCACCAGACTTGAATTTTTCAACTACCAGTGGGGGAACCTGCCCATGCCTTAGACTTTATTAGCCAATCACACCCTTTTATGACTACAATTTCATATGATTGATGCCCAAATAAGAGACGACCTGTTAATACGAATATAAAGTTGGAGAGTTTAAGTATTTTTTAAGTCACCAATTTCGTAATAAATTAGACCCGATACGACACAATTAATACACAAATCGAATATAAATGAATTCAATCAAAAGAAATTGATAACATGACTCATTTATCTACTGGTTATATATGTTTCATATTCGTCAAGAACTCAATATAACACAATTCATTAGATATAAATTAATAAATAAATTAAATATGATAGAATTATTTTTTGACACAAACTTACACTAATTAGTCACACCTGACATGATTGACTGGCCTTGCCAGCTTATGTGGGCCTAGTAAGTGAGAAATCTGATTTTCATATGTTATAAATGCAGCAAAAAATAGATACAGATTTTGACCCCCACTTTTATGCCAAAAAGGAAATTTAATTGGGACAATAAACATAGTCTACCTCATGGTGTGTGTGCAAACTACTTTATGCCGACAGCCAAGCTTGCACACCCACATGGCGAAAAATATTTTTTAATTTAATGATTATAATGAATTAAGTTAATAAATTAAATTTAAATAATATTTGATAATTAAAAAGCAATCTAACACATCTTAATTATAATATAATCACAATAAAAACATCTAAAAGAAATACAAAACGGAACATTTTAGTAGAGGCCAAAAATCATGCGAGAGAGAGACTCAAATACTCACCGGAACGCCGAATTCAGCGGAGAGGTCAGAAGCGCTATTGCTGCTGGTGCCGGAGAAAATTGGTTCTGGACCCAGAAAAGAATGGGAAGAATTTGGCCAAATGGCCCGAAAATCGTTCCGGTCACCGGAGCCAAGCCCAAACCCATTATCGGGAGGAAATTGAGTCAAGTCGTCAAAAGAATCGAAGAAGCTGCCGCAGTCTATCTCGTCCTGGAAATTGGGATCCATCATTTCTCTGAATGTAACCTTCTCTGAGAAAATTCAAAGGAAAATGGAAGTGAGAGAGCGGGGGAATAAGTGAGAAAAACTTTTTGAGTGGTGTTTGGTAACGTGCGCACGCTGCGTCGGGGCCACCTTGTCCTCGGCATGTGAATGATTCTGGCCACCGCAGAGGACGTGTGGCGCATATTAGAAAGAAGTTTCAAATTTATGGCAGTGATTTTGGATTGTATTGCCCTAATTTAAGCTACTGAGATTCTGAAAATCTTCAATTATTTTTTTCTTTTTTTAAGAAGAATAAAAAAAAAAACTATTTAGCAAATTCAAAAAGAATTTATAAAATTTGTGGGGTGTATCTTTTAATTAGTTTGAAGAATTTGTTAAAACATTCAACTTATTTATCAAAATGCGATAATTTTATAAAGAATTGTCAATAACCACATTCTTAAATAAAAGCGTGGTTACCACCAACTACAATGGTCTAGGGGAGCATCAGTTTTATTTTTCACCGTGAGGTTCAGAGTTCGAGTTTTAAAATTGTTATTAAGGTTTAGTAATTGACCGATATACTAGTCCAATTAGGTCTGATCCTAATAGGTGTTCCAGGCATGGAACTTTATGATCCTATCAAGTGAGAGCCTATTGAAATAATCGTTGGCGCTCTTTTCTTATCCCCACTTTTTTTTCTCAACAAAATAAATAAATAAAAGCATGGTTATTAGAAAGACCATGTTTATATTTAAAAGCGGGATTAATTTTTTAACAAAAGTGAAGTGAATAACCCTATTAAATCGATTTAAAAAAATTATAATTTAAAAAATAAGTTAAACATTGTAACTTGATAATTTAGTTTCTAAATTACCGTATTTTGATACTTAATTTCATTTGAAGAGATTCTGTGCATATGTACTTGTTTGGCTGGAGGAAAAGAATAGCAGAAGAAGAGATGCAAACCTCACAGCTTTATGTGAAGACGAAAGAGAAGCGAAATGCGAGTGGTCAGAATTTGAAGTTCTTCACTGAAGTAACACCTGCAAAGAAAATAATTAAGTAAAATTTTAAGAACGGAAAATGGCATATTTAATGAGTTCTGTTTGGTTACATAGAAAAATAAGGAAAACTTCAAAACTTTGGAACGTAAAACTCTTTTAAATGAAAATATTTCCATTAACTGTGACCAATTACACCAAATTTGGTTCATTTGAGGGGTTTTTTTTCTCTATGAGAATAAAAACAAAGAGCGAAAGACATGAAATTAGTTTTCTTTTTCTTTCCCTCTCCTTTATATCCTCTGTTTTTCTCAGCATCCAAACAAGAGGCAAAATGAACCAAAATGACCTCAGATTGCCAAAAAAACTTAAGCAGAGAAAAATGGTATATTTTTCATGAGAAGAGAAACATCGAATTTTTAGTAGAATTGAGAGTGAAGGTCCAGAAAATTCAGAGTCGAACCTGAGCAAAACTGAGAAACTAAAAACTTTTGGCGCACACTTCGAGACAAACCCTCTCAAAAGAGAAACTCTGAAACCAATACAAGTACGAAAAGGAGCAAATATACCTAGAAACTACTCCCACTCTTAAACACTATTCCTCCATTATAGAGAGGGAAAGAGAGTGAGTGTTAAGTTGTGAAAGGAGAGAGAAGAGAAGGGAGAACACTTAAAAGGGATGGGAAGAGAGAGAGAGAAATAAGAGTAATGGTAGGTGAGACTCCACCTTCGCTCTTAGCTGTCTTTTACCCTCACAGTCCTCACTGTCGTGATTCTGAAGTCTTCTTCAATACCACGGTTACCACTACCCTTCTCTGTCTCTGGCTCTCTCTCCTGAGTTACCCACGGGTCCACAACACCACCTCCTTCCACCGCTTTCTATCCCTTCACATATATATAGACACACGATACACGTATACGTGTGTGTATGTGTGTGTGAATACGCGTGAATATTATCTGTTTCACGGATTTTAAGACGTAAATTGGGTAGAAAGGAAAATGTTATGAATACCCAATGAATTTTATTAAATAATTTACCAAATAAATATAGATGGTTTGATCGGTGGATCCAATCAAAAAAAATTTATGGGATCTAATCTAACCATCCACGTATATTTTTGTTTACATCCAAAATAATAAAATCACAAGGTGATACCCGGAAGATATTTAATGATCATAAAAGAATTTGTGAGACTCTAAAATAAACTCCCTCAAATTCATGTTTGACAAATATACATCTACTCCGGTGATTAAAACTCATCCTAATTTAGGCCCGGTCATAAAACCCTCTTGGGTTTCATGAAACACATTGGGGGTATGTTTGTTTCGAGTATAAAATTTATGTGGTATAAGATTTTATATTCATTCCACTCCGATTCAATAGTATATTATATTCGGTGTTAAACTATAATCATATTTTTTTCCTTGTTTGTTTTATCACAAATATTATCGGTGTAATACCTACTTAAAAAAGTCAACAATTGCGGCTAACCAATGTAAAAGACAATTTTAACCTTTAAAAAGTCAAAAATTACGGCTAGACTTTTATATGGAAATTGTACCGGATGGCATTTCGATCTTTTTAGTTTATAATACCTATATCAAGAATATAATATCACCCCTAGGTGGTATTCATTAAGACCTTCTACAAGACATTATGACTACTGTTTATAGCGGATTGGTATTACGACCCAGAAAATAGTACTAACTATAAAATGTCAAACAAACAACGTATAAGATGGGTTTCATGTACTATTTTCCTAATACCACCTCCTTATACCCCTCTAATACTCAAAACAAACGGCCCCTGGGGGGGTTTCATATGTCGGTTGATGGATTTAACATCCAAATGATATTTATACCCCCCATATATCCTATATACCCCATATTAATTAAGGGGCACAATAGTCATTTATATATAAATATATTATCATAATAGTTATATATCCTTACATATACCAAACATTGGTATAAACAACATTAAATATTAAATCTCATCTTTAGGTTTGAAAGAGTTTGAACAAACTAATCAAAACCCTCCTAAAAAACATATTAAACAAGCCCTTAAGGAAGTAGAACTTCAAAAAAGTGAAAAGATATCACATCATGAGCCACCAGTTTAATACGGTTCAACACATTCCTACACATCTTGAAAAGAGACCATGATTATAGTCATGACTGAAAAAAATGGTTTCGATGCTCAATGGCCATCTTTATAAATAACATAGGTCAGACCACAGATAAGAGATCCACGATCAAATAAAACAAATTTTACACAGAGTCATTCTACTTTATACATACTTATTTTTATTCCCGAGTAACTTTATTTTTCCTGTAATCCATCAGTCTGATTATATTTTACATTTTTTATTTAATGTTAAGTACAATACTTGTTTCATCTTCCCAACTTAGTTTACTTGCTGGTTTGCATTTCAGTTTTATTTTTACGTTTCAATTCATTACATTGTTAGTTGAAAAATTATTTAAACTCTTTGAACCCTAAGAAATAAAAAAGAATTCAAATGTAACTTTACGTTTTGCTATAATCGTTTAAACAGTAGTTCAAATATGTAAGGTTGTACGTGTTTAGATCTTAAATTCAATTGAACTTGCCAAATAATTTTGATAAGCATAATATTATTTGGATAACAATAAAGGAGTGGGACTACTGGATTCGCTTACCCAGCTATGCTTTTTATTTATTACTTGAATTCGGATTTTTTTAATATATAAAAATTCATCATTAGTGGATGAGAGACCCATTTAAATATAATGAGTCTCACTTAAATAGACCATAAATGATCTACCAAGAAGAAAAATAGAGAAAAAATATATTGAAGAAAATCTCATTCTTCTTCAATTATAGAATCAAAAAATTCTTTTAGAACATCAAACTTTTTACCGACTAATATATATATAATGTGCAAAACTTATCTATGTACTTATTTTGTTTTAATTTATTTTAATGACTATAATCACAAAAAAATCGAAGAAAAATATATGTTGTAAAATCATTTAATAGTGATTTTTTTTAATTTTTTTCCTAAAAGTGGAAGATTTGACAAAAAACATAAAAAAATGTTTGTTCCATAAAAAATAATTTTTTTTTCATTTATTATATTCATTAGCCGTAAACAGATTTTACTTTCCTTCTTTTCAAATTCTTTTTTGATGTTCAAAAAGTCAAATTGAAAATCTTTGTGTGAAATTCATCTAGCTTTTAGAGAAGGGAAAATAGTGAATGTTAAATGATATTTGCGGATCAAATTCAAGTTATTAAGGAAATCACATTAATTATAACTTNAGGGAAAATAGTGAATGTTAAATGATATTTGCGGATCAAATTCAAGTTATTAAGGAAATCACATTAATTATAACTTTTTTCAGACCTCCTGAAAAAGCATAAAAAAACAGATCGAAGGGTGGAATCCCTCCGTCACCCATGAATGAAAGAGGTGATCTTGTAATTTTTGGTCTATGAAAATACATTTTTTAAGTGTTTCGTTCAATCTAATACAAAAATATCTATTATTTATAAGTAAATTTCTCATTCCTTTATATCCAACAATAATATATGCTATTGTAAAAGTAAGTAATGTACAGCTTAAATGCGTGTTAAGTTCCTAAATTGTAACTATTATTTGTTCCAATGGGTAAGACAATGATATCGATGTTGTGCATTAATTAATCTCAGTCATTAATTTTAAATTAAATAAATTACAATTATTGAGTAAAAATAAAATAAAATAAAAGTACACATAATATATTTTTATTAATTAAAAAATATATGTTTTTTGGTGGGACCCTGATTTCGAAAAGGTTTTCTTAATTTTTGACCTCTTAATTTTAAAAAATGGAAAAAGTATAGTCTGATGTCATAACTTTAGTGCATTTGAAAGAGCGTGAATTCTCCGGCGATTNTTTTAAAAAATGGAAAAAGTATAGTCTGATGTCTTAACTTTAGTGCATTTGAAAGAGCGTGAATTCTCCGGCGATTCTGATTTGGCTAAGAGGTTGTTCTAACGTCATCAAATCCAATGTATGTCGAACGTTAATTACCGCGCCATGACGGCGCGTGAGTCGGAACTTCTGTGGATTTTTTTTTTTGGCTGATTAACTTCTGTAGGTGAGAAGGAATCAGCCGGGGAAGACGTGATTAAATTGAACTTTAAATTAATAACTACTACTAAGCGTACCGTGTGATATACGAAATTTAAAACTCGTCTGGCTCCCGACCGTTTTTTCTCTTTTCCCATCATTCAACCCGCATGTTGAACCAAAAATTTGATTTAATTTACTAACATAATAATATAATTTTAGTGAAATTATTTGATAAACATCAAATTTTAATGTTTAATAGAACTTACAAGGAATTCAAAAGTTATAATAAATTAAGTCAGTAAATTAAGTCAATAAATTAGGTCCGAATAACATTGTTCTTCCACAAATATTATGTAAGAATATATAACGCCGCAAAATCTACCTTAGAAGACATTTTTATCTATAAAATATCCAAATCACGAGCAACTAATAATATCAATAAATTAAAAAAAAATCCAATCATCAANGGCTCCCGACCGTTTTTTCTCTTTTCCCATCATTCAACCCGCATGTTGAACCAAAAAATTTGACTTTATTTATTAACATAATGATATAATTTTAGTGAAATTATTTGATCAACATCAAATTTTAATGTTTAATGGAATTTACAAGGAATTCAAAAGTTATAATAAATTAGGTCAGTAAATTAGGTCCGAATAGCATTGTTCTTCCACAAATATTATGTAAGAATATATAACGCCGCAAAATCTATTTTAGAAGACATTTTTATCTATAAAATATCCAAATCATGAGAGCAACTAATAATATCAATAAATTAAAAAAAAATTCAATCATCATNTCTATAAAATATCCAAATCACGAGCAACTAATAATATCAATAAATTAAAAAAAAATCCAATCATCAATCATAATAGCTAAAGCATAATCAAAAACCAATATTCGCAATATTGAACTTACATTCAAAACCGACATACTATTATTCCAAAAATTAACTAAGAATGTTTAAATAACCAAATCAATCCCAACAATATGTAATTAAAATCTTCAATTACATTTCCAAAATCAAAAAATATCTCGCAGCGNGTTTAAATAACCAAATCAATCCCAACAATATGTAATTAAAATCTTCAATTACATTTCTAAAATCACAAAATATCTCGCAGCAAAATAGACAAAATAGTATCATTAACATTATCTCATAATCAACTTACAAAGTTAAACCATAAAAGAAATAATCTAAACATCCACTTTGAGATCCACCCATTGGTTTTCTAATTTACGTGCTTATCCAATCCAAACTCCTTCTCTAGTCCGCAATTTGAAAAGATGTTGTAGGGGTGGGGGGAGGGAAACACTAAGCTCTATAGNTTCTAATTTACGTGCTTATCCAATCCAAACTCCTTCTCTAGTCCGCAATTTGAAAAGATGTTGTAGGGGTGGGGGAAGGGGAACACTAAGCTCTATAANAACATCCACTTTGAGATCCACCCATTGGTTTTCTAATTTACGTGCTTATCCAATCCAAACTCCTTCTCTAGTCCGCAATTTGAAAAGATGTTGTAGGGGTGGGGGGAGGGAAACACTAAGCTCTATAGAAAAATTCTCTCAAACTTAAACAGGGATTCAAAAAGATACAAAATATCACATATAACTTTTAAAATAAAACAATGATAATTTATTAGATCTCAAGTTTAAGTTAGTGCAATAAAATAAATGAAGAAGTAAAACTAACTTATAAACAATAAACTATTGTCAACACTGTATTCAGGTACGTAGTC